GACGATCAAAACAAAATGAACTGTTTAGTATTGATATGCATGAGGAAGAACTGTTAGTAGTTGTTAAACAAAGTTGTTGCAATGATTGGATCAAAGACCAAGTTGCATCAAATGCAAACAGTGCATAAGGATCCACGTTCGTCGATCCAGGGAATGACTCGTTCTCATACTGCTGCCAAATCTTATATGCTGCTTCTAACAATGTAACATTTACTAGTTTATTGATAACATCTCCTACTACCGGCTCTATACTAAGCATTCCAATTAACTTTGACTGCAATGTTTGGTTAAAAGTGCTCAGCGAAACGCTTGATCTTGTAATCCATACGAACTGTGGACCAAGCACATCATAATCGAGGGCATATTGTAAGGTTACTAATGTATACTTTTCTTCTGTCCATAACACAACAATTCGCGTTGAACTACTGGTTAAAGTCTTGGCTAAGTCACCTCGAATATTGCCTGTTGCGATATCAAACACCAATGTCCTCATGACTACCAGTCCATTAGTATTAAATGCCTCACTTATTGCTTTCGAGCCACCTGTTCCATATTCATCATTTTGATAGATAATTATGCATGATGTCCAATTAAACCGACTGAACAGTTTTACAATTGCCGATGCAGCTATGGTATCCGAAGGAGCTGTGCGATAAAAGGCAGGAAATGAATTTCGATCAGATAAATCAGGATCGGTTGCAGCATAAGATATTACAGGAATACCAACTGTTTTGGCAAATGGAGCGATAACGGCAGCTTCTCTTGAGAATGCCGGACCCACAATGCCGACGATATTTGAAGTAGACATTATTAGGCACGTAGAGCTAAGAGCACTTATTATATCGCCACCGGTTTCTGCTGCTTGCCATCCAATGAATTGTCCTTGAATTGTAATATTATATTGCTGAGAAAGCAGTACTGCTGCTTTAAACATAGCTCTAGAATGAACAGACAACTTGGTAGTTTCCGATGCATTTGGTGCGTCCGGAAAAAGGCCCAGTAGTTGTATGTTTGATAAGTTTGATGACGGCCACGTTGCTCTTGCGTACTGTACTATAAACAGTCGGAATATAGAGTGTGCCAATAACCATCTGAAGCTCCAGAAGCACAACATCGACGTTTATTTGCAATGCAGATGTGATTGTTGAATCAAGCATGCATGGAAAATCAGAACAAAGTACACTAAAATTTAAACACTATAGTAAAGCTAATAAATTAAGAAACTTAGTTTTTTAGCGACGAAACTCTCGATAAACGGCACTCGAAAAAGGCATGTCTAGGTGGGGAAATGAACGCAGGATATCAGTTAACAGGGTGCTTTCCCACTGAGCTATAAGGACACAGTCTTGGTATGCTTTTCTCCAGTGGATGGTCTTAGTTATTTATGTTTCTTAACTTTCATAGTAAAAATCCTTGTTTATTTCTCAAAATCATGAGAGACTCCGTAACAAAATCTTCAATACTGTAAAAAAAATGATAAAGGCGCCAAAATATAAATTTTGTTTTGAATACCATTTTCGGATTCTCCTTTCAAAGTTACCTATAAATCCAAGCTTTTAGCGTTTGAAAACGTTTCGTTGAGAAATTTTTTTTAAAAAAGAGCACCAATAAGTTTTCTTCAAAGTATGTTAAGAAGGCCGTTTACGAATAGGTGGGATATTAATAGTGAAATTTAGAAAAGAAGTAGTAAATAATTGTATTACTGTCTATTCAAAAACTGTTATGACTAAAGTATAAATAACGTGAATCGTATCGATTCACTAAGTCCATTGACTGTAAGTCGAATGAATATCGTGTCGCGAATATTATTTCATAGTGTTGTAGCCCGATCCTATTACTACAGAATTGATGCATATTTTTACGATGAGTGCTTGCATATTTTCCATGGTAGTGTACAGAAGTAGTTGCTATAGCTTTTCACGGGTTAGAAAAGTTTATCAGAATTTCTGTAGTTCATCGAGACACTGTAATTTGATTTGCTTTCATGTGCTATTCAGACTTTCGACATGGACGAATCTATCAGTCTTCTTACCCTTGATAACAAAACCTGAGTGAGGGCAGGTTTGACCTAGTTCGTCGAAACAACGCTTATATCTCCCTTCGGTCGGTGTTCGCTAGGGACTATCTACCACGCGTTATGAATACTTCTCTGATATGATGTGTCACCTTCGTAAAGTAGCTTCAATCTATGCAAGTTTTCTCCAGAGCGTCCGAGGTTTACAAACACTTCTGAATTCCAGACAACGTCTCTGTAATTTGATTTGGTTTTATCTGACCCCCAAAGAACCTCAAAGAACAATATTTCGAAATTCCAGACAATGCTCACGCGTCCCTTCGGTCTGTGCTCGCAGTCAGGATAGGTGTTACACGTCGCTGATTCCACAGAAAACGCGAGCGCATCTGGATCTTTGTCCGTCAAACTCACTGGTCACTATATGTATGTACGTCCGTCACACCTCTGTACGGACAAACACACACACAAACACTTTGTACTTTTTCGTATGATCATAGACTTACAGTCAATGGAATAAAATAGTCTAAGTACTGTACGTCCTGATGTTTCGTTCTGAAGTTTTTGAATGGCGCATTTTTTAATATTATGTGAAACAAGCCTGGAAATGCTCATTTTCGTATAGCTTGGTTTTCACTACCTTTTTAGATCTTTTCTGAAATGCAAAAATGTTTGCTTATGGAATTATGCTTCCAAGTCACTTCTTCGAATTTCGAAAATAAAAAGCTCTCTAGTTATTTTCTGTCAGAAGTTATTGAAAAAACAGCAGAATAATTTCCTTTTTTGAATAGACAGTAATAGAATGATTTACTACTTATTTTCTAAGCCTCTACCTAATTATTAATATCTCACCTATTCGTAAACGGCTTGCTTAACCTGCTTTGACATATTGATGGTAAAACATGACTTTATACATCATGTTTAAAACAATTTCATAAATATACTACTATCAGTGGTACTCGTTGCTAAGCATTTTTCCACCTATGCCTCCACTTCTATTTCTATGCACTATAGCACATTAGATGTGCTAAAAATTGTTGTGGGATAATGGAATTTTTCGTCGTAATAATTGTTCTACTAGAAAAATTAGCTTCGCTTTTTGTACCAATGATACTTTGTTTAATTTTTTCGGCAACGAAAAATTTATTTAAGACCTGAACAGTATCAACTTTTGTTGAGTTTTTTGTGCTCGTTCGAATGATGTGTAATTTTAGAAAACCAAGTGTACGTTAATGTCGCTACAATTAAAAGAATAAGAAATACAAAATTGTTTAATTTTTGAAGAAAACTTGCTGATACCTTTTTTAGAAATTGCTTTTCTCAACAATGAAAAGTTTTCAAAAGCTAAAAACTTGGATATACAGATAACTTTGGAAGGAGAATCTGAAAATCACATTTAAACGAAAAGTCATTTTTTCTCGACGCGCTCACAAATTGTCTCTTAAAAGCTAATAAATATTTATTAAACTAAGCAATTTAGTATATGTTTCTGCTGTTTTAACCATTGACTCGTCATTAGCGATAAAATCGAACTAGAAGATAGATTTCCTATCAAACGTATGTTTGGCAAAACAGATGGTTGTAAAATTCTTGAAGCGTATCAAAATGTGAAGACTTTTTCTTAAATATAAGTAGCGGATTAGCTGAGTCTGATTCTGAAGTGAAAAGCATGGCGTCAGTCTGAGAAAAGTGTGTCAGATTTTGATATGTAAACTGTTTATCCTATTCAAAAAACATAAATATATTACATGTAATTACCAGAAAGAACGAATGCTTCAGATTCTTATGCTGTAATTGACCAAACGGAATAATATGATCTAAAATAGTAAACAACAAACATAAAAGAAAGGTAGATAAGCGGTCAGTCAAAAATCTGATGCAAGAGAACTGGATGAATTGATTCATTGGCACTTCAAGCAAGAAATGTCTGCAAATTTCCGTTCCACCCAGCGGAAACTATTTGCTTTCACTCTTTCGACCATCAAAGAATCCGAGATCGACTGTTGCCCTACCACAATTAGCGTTCGCTACAAGTGCACCAGTGCATCAAGAACCCGTTTCACAAGGACACTCACAGAGTCAAATATTTCGTCCTGCAATGACTACTGTGGTTTAGCACATAGGGGTTCTATCCAAGCCACTGCATCTTTAATGACTTCTTTGAAGTGAGTTGATTATTGACATCAAAGAGATCATCAAAAGATAGATGATAAAATCGAGCTCCCGTATTTTATTTATAAGGTACCCCAAATAAATCCATCTGATTCAAGAGCAACGACATTTCATTAAAGATTACTTACTCACAAGGAAAAAGCATTAAACTTTTTGACGAATTACTTTTCAGAAAATGATGAATAACTCATTCAAAAGATACCCTGCGGATTTTTTTGATACCAAAAATTTCCTGTGAACGTGTTACAATCGACATTTCGAACGTTTAATACATGTGAACACATTCGATAAATAAAAAAAAATTTAACGCCTTCGCATGCGTTAAAAGTTAATGCATTTTGGAGCCTTAACTTTTTTAATTGTTCTAGTGCACTTTTACAGATTCGACATCTCCAAATGCCTTATTAACTAACGCATTTAAACT